TTTCTGAGCGGTGCGGTGGTGAATACTGTGCGAAGGTCTTCGAACCACACAATGGGGTCTTGTGACTTCTGTCCGGCTGCGACACTGTCAGGTGACAGTAGCTGTGAGCAGTTGTGTAAAACGCGGCTAAGCACCTTGTATGCGCCTATAAAGGCACGGAGGCCTTTGAATTTCGTGGGGGGAGAGCAGGTTGCAAGTGTGGCAATGCGATGAGGGTTTGCAGAAATTGTACCGCTAAACCAGATCCATCCCAGAATGATTGTAGTCTTGGGACAAACAACCGACTTTCTTGCAGATAAACGGAGCTAGCATTTTGCCAGTGAAGAAAAGACGTTACGCAAGGTGTTGACGAGGTCAGGTATAGAGTTACCTTCAAGAGAAAAATATTAAGAAAGATACATCTTAACCAATAATGTCGGAAATTAGTTTCGTAGAGTAATACATAAAATTAAATCTAGAATATTTTTATTGCACGTTGGCTTCTTATTCCACTGAACTAAATTCAGAGATTTTTCCATGCGATATTGAGATGGCTGGCATCCCCTATCAGAATTAGTTGATGACGAGGGTAAACTTCTTGGTTTAATTTTTATTGGAAGTCAACAACATAAAACCGCCATTACTTTGCCCATCTTTTCTATCCTTCCTATAGTATTAGCCCAAGAAAATATAGTTCTGCATTGGACACATAAACATATAGCCATGTTTTAGAGAACGAAACAAAATCAAATGAATTACATAAAAGATGACCTTGTTATTCGGAGTCATATACGTTCATTTTGTGTTATATGCTTCTAATATTCCTATAGTAGAATTTGGGTTAGTTATTTTAGTTACCTTGATTATGATGTGACTGTTGGAGTTGGTCACTTATCCAGGGTTCACCTCAAAGTCTCTGAATTTAGCAGGTGCCTGCTTGAATTTTGAGACACACGATCTGTAAAGTGTGGAACCATAGCTGCTCCGAAAGTGTTTGAAATTTCTATAGAAGACTAGCATATCAACGACACACTTTACGTGTAAATTCAAATAATGTGGACCCATTTCTGCAAAAGGTTGACCCATCTTACACAAATATATGAATATTCTGGACCCAATAGAAAAATTGTGTGAGACTGTCCCAACTGTCCCAATAAGCTGACTACGGCATTGACCACATGGCTGGTCATCGCTAATGGTTATTGTGTGTAAAAACGTGAACTAATCCACGGTTGATCCTCGAAAATTGCTGATATTTTTAGGAAAATATCCATCAGAAAACACGGAATGACAACAATTGAATTGCACACGAACAAGCAAATGTCTTCTTCTTATAGTGTTCACAAAAACAGCAGGTCCCTAGGAAGGGCCCACTCTGGTCTAGTCTAGGCATGATGACAATGGTGATAGAGTACAAGTATTCCTTATATACCTTGTGTCGTGGTGGTATAATTACCGGGGCGCGTTACTGGGACCGCAAACAAAGGTGAGAACAATAAACAAAAGTACCTTGTTCTGGTAGCCATTTCGAAATTAGTCCCTCATTTTAGCGTTAATAATGATATTGACATTGGCAATGGTAATAGTAATATTATCCAAACCAGCCATAGACTCACTGTGTTACTCACCAAATTATTGAACAAACAACAACAGCAACAACATCAACAACTAGACTTACTATGTTTGTTTGTAATAAGAAAGTAAAATATTTCATCGACTGTATGGGGTTCGATTCTCCCTCTTGTTTTTTTTTTAATTATTAATTAATTATTATATTATAAACTTTTATTATTTTGGCATTTATAGAATCCCTTTTTTCCCTTTTTCTTATTTTATTATTATGCACAAATATTTTTTTGTATAAAATTGGAACAGCAGATTGCGAGATATATGACCAGAAAATATTAAAAATATTCAAAAAGTTGCATCCTACTTCTCCAATCTATTCTCTAAACGAGGCCAAACATCATAGGACTCATGTGCAAAGCCCATCAATGGGGCTGGCACGTCGTCCGGCTGCTTCCAGTCTGCCGGCCAGAATTTGAAACATGGCTCGAGGCAGCCTGGCCCTACCAAACGACTTCTTCGAACGGGGAACGCCGAGATACATATAATATTGTCAATGTGTAAAAGTCTGAGGTTACTCGGTCCATAAGGTTTTGAGTTTTAGGCCCGGAAGGACACACACCACACAGAGATACAGACACGCACTATTGCAATCCCCTTCGCCTCTACTTCGGAGGGGCGAAGTAATAACCATAATGGTCAATGTACTTTACATAGAGAGAAGATAAAATACAATATTGAAAATATGCAACATACACGTCTATTCAAACAGGCATATGGAATTTTTTTAAATTGTTCTCATCTAATTAAAATAACATACAATATTATATTAAAAGCAAATTCATGTACTACAAGGACAATTTTCCAACATTTGGTGAATTGGGCCAAATATGCTATTGCATCTCTTTAGCAGAAAACTGTCATCGTTGCAATCGAGATTCCAGAATTCCAGAAGCCATAATATACAGTAGTTCACTTACTAAGATAGGCCTAATAGAATACCACGCAGAAACCAAAAAAAAGGCTGGGCGAAGCAATATTGTTTAATTAAAAATTATTAGGAACTTTTGGTGATGTTATAATAATTATGGCGATTCTGAACAAATAAAATCAAAACAGAATATGCTTGCGTCTGCTTCATCAATGCATTATGTTCATCCAAACACCTGCTTGACTTCAGCATGTTGAACAAACAGTACATTGAATAACTTATGATGCAGTGAAGGAAATTAATTTTTACTGGACTCTTAAATAGCGTAGGTTTAATAAGAAATTATTGATCAATATCAATTAAAAAAATCTAATATCATATCATATTTAATCAAAGTTAATGTTAAAGTTGTTTTTGATCGAAAAAATAACCAATAATATTATATATATATATATTATATATATATATGATTTATATAATTTGTTTCTAGCCGTAACTATTGTGTAATGGAGTGTATCTGGTGGTATTTTAATTTGTTCAACCATAAAGCCTCCGTGATCTAATGGTTATGATGCTCGCCTTGACAGCGAGAGGTCACAGGTTGGAGTCCCGCCTGAGGCATTTTATTACAATTTCTTTTTTCATTTTTTTACAGGACTACATTCGTTGAGAGCTATGCTACACGATGTATTATCATGTCCTTTATTCTAACACTGTATTTACCTTTCTTTGATGATTATTATATAATTTAACAGTGTTAACTGCTACCTTGATTTATATTATATATATAAATACAATATATGTA